TATGAGAAGCCCATATCTTTTCTTCTTTATCTGGAAATATCTCTTTATATAATTCTTTAAATTTTAAATGATTGAATTATTCATTTAAAATTATATTATTCTAAAAATTTAAATAAGGATATATTTGTGATTTAATTAATAGAATTAGCATTTCACACATCCTTTCTATTGGAAATTGCCAATATCTTCTACATGAACCAAATGTTCACACCACCCACACACGATTAAAAAAAAATCAAGCCCGAAATGTGGGTAAAATTTTATTAAATGCTTTATAATATAGACGCAATAAACGTCATGTTTTACAAATTATAATACTTTGCGTTTCATTTTCATTGCGTTAAAAAAAATATAATATATAATCAAAGTAAATCCAAACAGTAAATTATTTTACGGTCACATTGCATTTAATTCCTTTGGCTATAATTAATGTAATAATAATAATACATGTAAATCAGATAGAAGTTTGACCTTGACCCTTTGGAGTGAAATGGGTTGGCCTAATAAACTTTGTTTTAAAATGCTTTGCTTTGACTTGGGATTCCAAATTGTTGCGAAATATCTTGTTATAAGCGTGATTGTATTTTTTTGGATCAGGAAAGAGATTTGCCTTACGAACAACATTTTCCTAAAAAAACAAAAGATATCATTATAAGCATCTATTCACATACCAACAATAAAAAATGGCTTCTTACTTTAAAGAAATATAATGCTTCAAGTGCGTTTCGGAGGCACTTAATGTTTGATAGTTGCGCAGGAAAGCTAAAATGAGGTCCTTCAAGGCCAAAGTAAAGACCATTGTCAAGGAGGTCAACTCCAATTATCTGACCCTCTAGGCCTTTATGTGACGATAAATGTTAACCCAAATATGACAATACACAACAAAATCAATGTGAAGGACTTTACCAGCAAATTGTATTCCAAGGATTACCGAATCTTTGACTGCCTCATCCGATAGGTCTTCTTTCAGAAATTTGTCAAGAACGCCTTTTTCTGTTCTCAGACATTTTGAGCGGTCACGAATGGCCTTGGCACGTGTTGGAGCCTTTGCGCACTCTGTATGACTTAGCTCTATCTCTCTACATTTGTGAACAATTCTAAGGTCAATCTTTCGTCGTCTGTCGGAAATAGCTGACACAGTTTCTCCCCTATATTACATATATACTACTAAGTCATTGCTCATTAGTGTAGATGACAATAATAGAGATGATCTTACCAACGAAGATTCAAAATATCCAAGACGTCATTGAAAACGTCGTTCAGAATCGGTGCTATAATATTTATCACAAACTCCATTTCACTAAGATTCTTTAGCTTTCCACTTTCTTCGATAAACAAATGTGGATTATCAAGGAATTTGTCGATCCTAGCAACAAATTTAACGGCATTAGTATTAGTCAGTTAAATATGTGAATTACATAATTAAAAAAAACCAAGCTCAACATCTTACACATGAAAATACGCGGTTGCGATTTGTTGAACCATTGGAGTATTTTTCTTATTTCTTATTTTAAACAAGTACTCCCGTGCATCAACATAGTGATACAGCCCACACATCTGAGAATGAATAAATGGATTAAGAGATGATAGTCATATGTGCCAAAAAATCAATAAGCACTTACTTCTTCAACTGTATCAACAATCGTTTTAGTTTCACCTTCAAAAAAATTGGGGGTCATATTGACTTGACTGTACACTTTTTCTTTAATGTCATTCCATTCATTCCCGAACCAGTTATACATTCCATTATGAAACTCTGAGGACAAATCTATTATTGATGAAAGCCCCAAACTGTATTTACGGTATATTAGTCACGTTAGTAACTTTTCCATGGTGTACTATATATTATTAATAATACAAATTCATACCGAATAACACTAATGATGCATGCCGTTCGTTCTTTCTTGCTTTTAGCTGAGATCGACTTCACTAATTCGGCAGTGTTTTTTGTAAGTACATCAATGACCCTACGTCCATCTTTCAACGTCCAGTCAGACTCATTATGAGTTACACCCACATACTCATCAAAAGAGATTGTTTCAGGGTTTTTAATGACATAATAGGAATCGTCCTCGCTTTCACTATCAATAAATTCTTCATTGCTATTTTCTTCATTATCCGATCCCAACGGATTAGAAGGCTCAATCCTAATATCTCGCTCGTCATTATTGCTATCTTCTTCATTATCCGATCCCCACGGGTTAAAAGGCTTAATCCTAATGTCCTGCTTATACAAATCCTAATATGCAAGTTGAAATAAATGCATTAATCTGATAATTTCGTAATGTTTGTTGATTTATTATATACCTGTCTCGGTCCACGTTGACGTTTGTGATTATATTCGCTTGTGCGAATATGGGAAGGCGGAGTAACAGAATCGAAATAATCATCTATTGTCCGTTTTGGGACTTTATTATTGTCCTAAAAATTAAATCGCAGTTTATTAGGAATAAGATCACAAAATAAAGTTATAAATAAAAAAACATGCACCTGTAATTCGGTTAATCCAATGAAATTTCCACCATATATATTTCCGTTTACAGTTCCACTGATGCCTGTAATTGTCACTTGCCCACGCGAGCGGTTCTCCTCCCAATCTTTTGCTTTTTTGCGATCTGGTTGGGAATTCTAGCATGGAAGATTTAGAATTAGTATTATTATTCTTTGACTAACTAACGTACCCAATTCAGATTTCCCATCCCACCCGAACAACATCGCAACCAAGTAGGCCACCTGTGCCCCAGTGGGTCCAGTGCTGGATCAGCGAGTAGCCTTTGGCATCAGATAACTAAGTCATCTGTGCGCCAGCACCAGTTTCGTGGCTCAGCGAATAGCCTTGAATGACAGGCGACCGAGTAGGCCTCCAGTCACGCCACTTTCTTTCAAGCTATCTTCCCAATAAAAATAAAAAGAAATTTTTTACTTTCCTCTTTGTATCTATCAAGAAGGGCTCGTGCACTTTCCTGCCTGCTACCTTGATCAGAGTCAGCGATTGCGCGGAGGGATTTTATGTAAAAATCTATTTTTCGGTCAAACGGCTCCAAATCACACTCATTCAGAAAGTCAAGAATGCTCCAATTTTCAGGTTTTCGGTTGAAATATTCGGACATAATTAATGACTGCTCGAGAATCAAAGAATCACTTTATGTAGTCACACAGGTTTGACTGATGGTTAGTCACGTGTGCGTACAACACTACACGAATTAATAGAAACTTCTATTATTATATTAATTTTTTAGATGCAGAAATAGAGAAGCAAGCGAAATAATATGATGCTATCAAAGAGGGAGGGAGTACGCGGAACCTAGGCCATTTAATGCGAGTCCCAGCATAAAGTTATTTCTTTACTCTCTCAAAAATATCTATAACTAATTTATTTATATCAATATAGCTAACTACAAGATTCTCAC